TCTGATTTCAGTAAACTTATAGTCAAACTGACCGGATCAATGAAATGGACACAATGATATAATAACTAGTCCAATCCGAGTCAAATCAAACTCGGATCAAATCATTAAACCACACTTGGAGGATTTCTGGAGGAATTTGAAAGGACAAACAGATGTCAAATCTAGCGATTTCATAGTCGAATCGAGCTTCTCTACAAGACAAATCCAACAAGCTCAAGATTGCTCAATTCTGACATCGTTAAGACACTCAAATGTTCATCAAACGCCATTTCATCAAACGCCATTCAATCGAGAGAAGCTCTCGAGACCGTCTGATCAAAATGGTTCATACTCCTGCATTAATTGCACCAAAAAATATTATAAATAGAGTCTCAACCCTCATATGAGGGGGAGACTTGAGAGAGAACTTGAGGCTTTGAGAAGGAGGTCAAGTCCAGTATCATCATTGTCATCGTCGATCACTGTTGACCACCACTGACCGTCAACGACCACCGCCGGCCACTGTCAACCACCACTGACCTTCATCGTCCATCAGCGCCCGTCCTCGACCACTGTCGAGCGTCATCGACCCTAGCTGACCACCAACCGCCATCAACCACCGTCGACCTCTATCGACCACCGCTTACCGTCGTTGACCACCATCGACTGCTGTTGACCTCAGCCATCTATCGTCGACCACCACAAATCATCATCAATCACCACCAACTAGACACTGTCAATCGACGCAGTAATATGAAAATCTAGTAAATCTTTCCCGTCTGTGAGACAAGGTATTTTTGTAATCATTAGTCAATAGTGGATTTTCGCAATTCGGCCAGACCACGTGATTTTTTCCTTTCTGGGTTTTCAACGTAAAAATTTTTTGAGTCATCACTGTTTGTTTCTCTTTCATCTGTGTGTGTGTTCAATTCTCGTACAACGCTAAGACGATGATAATTCTTTGCTATACCGCCACACATTTTCTAGCACACATCAATTCTATACATAATTTTTTTATAAACAAAATTTAGTAGGAGCTGATCTCACGTGTAAGTTAAAGCTGATTCGTGTATGACTAATTCAACTTTGAAAAAAAAAAAAAAAAATAATTCATAGCTTTGGCTCATAGCTCGGCTCGTTTAGTTCGATCGATTTTGGTCCGAGCCATAGATTTTTGAGCGATTAATAATATTTGAGTTAAAATCACAAAGCCGATCATGACGAGCTTATGCTGCAACGCGGGCTATCCTACCATGTCCAGCTGTACAAGTTTGGCGCGAAGGGTAACTGTCCTGAGGGAGACCTGGCAGCTGCGTTTGCTGATAAGAGGGAAAAGCCAAACATCATAATAATATATATTTTCTGAAAAATATTTGCATACATACCAACTAATTCTATAGATTTATACATCTAATGCCAATATTTTTACTTTTTTTTTATTATTTATATCATCAAAAATTTTCATATCACATAAGAAATAACAACATTTTTACTTTTAAATGTGTAATACATCTTTCCATTTATTGGTATGGGCACCGAATATGTGTTGGCACAAATATGAAAGCAATATGACAGTTTTAAATAAAAAATGACGTGGTAAAGATGGGCCCACTAACTGACTCAAAGATACTTGCCAAAATGACACCTCTGCTCGATGACCTAAGTTTTATTTAGCTAGCGGGAATTTGCTAAGCGAGAATTGATGATTGACAGCCAAATTGATGATACACGCGAAAATGACACGCTCCTTACTTCGTATTTATAGGAATCACTGATACGAAATTTAAGGGGAGTTCGATTATCGCATCCTTAAGTAATCATAAATATTAAATATTGCTGATTCATTCATTAAAATCTCTTGTTCTTATCGCAGTGTAAGTCGCAATAACCAAGAGAATAAATGAACTAAAAATATATGTGAAAAATGTGTTAGTACAATTCTCAAAACAATCCGATGACAGAAAAAAAAAAGTGACATTGCAAGGGTGGGCCCACCAAAAAATGACTAAACAACTTAAAAGACCCACTGACTTACGCTAGCAAGAGATACTCTGAACCGAATTAACGATACATACCCAAATGACGCCCTCTTCCTCATGGCCTAAGTTTTCCTCAGTTGACGACAATTCCCTAGGCGAGAATTGAAGATTGACGACCATACCAATGCATTCGGTCGTCTAATAAATCAAACAGATTAGTCCTATCGACTATCTTCGTAAATCTAGCCCACCAATCTTACATGAAGGGTTAACCAACCAATGGTTCATCCATATCCAATACGCCGACCTACAATATTAATTTCCTCACCTCTTCGACCCAAACGACCAAGTCGAAGAATAGCAAGGACCTAGGCCCATGGGGGTGTAATCCCCATAGTAACTCGAACAACCCTTAATAAAACATTGTTAGATGTGTAATTTTCTTTTGTTACACTCACTCTACTATAAATAGGGAAATAGAGAGATTTGTGGTTCTTTCCCTTCTCACATGTAAGTGAAATATTAAATTTTATAAAAAATGTCACAAGCGCCCATGAATACCTCAGTTTTGTGCCAATGGAGTAAGTCCCGATTGTTAGCGTTGGACCGCTCTCGCTAGGTCGCTTCCTGCTTCTGCCTCCCTGTTGCTGACCGTGATTCGTCGTGACAGCTCCCTCTCTTTCGATCGCAAGAGTCGCGTCCCAGCTCCCGCTAACCTTTCCCACCTTCCCTGTTTTGCGAAACTATGTCGTCTCCTGCCTCCTTTAAGTTGCGAACATAGAGCAGGGTTCTCCTTTAAGTTTCTAAGTCATTATTTTGGTATTCTTCTTCGGGCTTACTCGGGGTAGAGGAAGGAAAATGCAAACAATAGTTCCTTGTGGTAGAAGTAAGAAGAAAGAATAAGAGGAAGATTGTTCTCCCTCGACTTCTTCTTGATGGCTTGTGGCAGAAGAGAATTTGAGTTTTATTTTTCTTATAAGTTTGTCTGCTTCGGTGTATCTCGGTGTAGAGTTTCTTCGGTGTATCTCAGTGTAGAGAGAGAAGAACAGAGAGAGAAGAAGAGAGAACAACGAAGTGAGAGATTCATCTTGTAAGTCTAGGTAATCGACTAGTGTAAATTCATAAATTTAATAAAATCCTCTGCAACTCCATGAACATAGGCAATATGTCGAACAACGTAAATCTGTTTGTTATTTTCTGGTTTGATTTTTTTCGTTCTATTTTTTCGCTTCATCGATCGTTCTCATGTTTGATTAATATCATATCTCACAACAACTGGTATATGTTCCCACAACAACGTACTCCTTTCCCTCTCTCTTTTTCTCTCATTTTTTCATGGTTGAAACACTCAATCTCTCGGGTGTCTCCTAGACAAATTTAGATTCAACAAAGTAATATGAATACATGTATAAATTGTTGTTTATATGTTAGATACATAAATATATAAGAATCAAGCGGTACATAAGTAAAGTAAATACATTTCTTATGATGTGATTTTTCCGGCTCTCATTGCTAAAAAATTATATATTTTTTTAAAATATTTTTAAATCATCATAAAAACATAGTTATATATATATATTAAAAATGAATAGTCGGAGGCTATTATACGAGCCTCAACTATCCCATACTCGGGGGAATCAAATCACAGACCAGAGGAGACTTGCAACTGACAAGCACATGCCCGACCCACCGATCTGCATGCCCTTTGTATTCCAGATCTTCACCACAATTTCATTTCATAAAGTGCTTTCTTGCAGTTTTTTAGAAATTTATCTTATAAATTTTTTTTGATAAAAATATATATTTATAATTTTCACCGCATCTTCCTATAAAGTTACTTTCTCCATGTTACAACCACACTTTAAAAAGTGAAGCCATCCTATAAATAAATTATATGATTTAAAATTTTAATCTTTTATTCTTAATTTTTTGGGTCAGTAAATGGAAACTCAAAAAAAAAAAAAAAAAAAAAAAAGCCCAACCATCACACCATATATGATAAATTTGTAATCTTAAAAAATAGACTTTTTTTTTCCCTGGTAATGGGACAATAGTACTTTCATCTTCAAGGGTACTTATTTATCCTAATTAATTACACCCAATTCCAAAAGCGAAAGAAAGAGATGCCCATCTTTAGCTTTGTTTCCCGCTTTAATGGCCGACCTTAACACCTAAATGACAATAAAAGACCTCGCTCTCGCTCTGCAGCATCTGTCTTCTCCCTCCATAGCTCAAAAAATCTGTTTTTGTATACTTGTCAAGCTAGCTTCCATCCATGTCCAGCTCAGCTCTACTGATCCTTTGTCCTCTTCTCCGTCTTCCTCACCCGTGAGGGTTTGATCTCATCTCCTCCAGAAACCCTACAATCTGGGATTTAAGGTCCAAATCATTGCCACTAGGCTCCGAACCCTATCATTTTGTTGAGCAAGCTAGAAAGCCGCAATGTTCGAAGTTCATTGAGCTTGCATCGATCTGGTATGCTTTTGTCTCCACAATAGCTGGCTTGTAGCTCTCTCCATTGCTTAAGGGAGAACAAAGAAGAGATTTTTCTGCAATTTTCCGGTTTGAATTGATAATGGCCTGGAGATGTTACTCCTCTTACTTTCTAGTACTGTTGTTGATAGTTTTGATCTTGGTTCCGCCATCAAGCCAGCTGCAATCTTCGCAGGCAGGAGCTCTTCTCAGACTCAAGCATCTGCTAAATTTTCCATTTGTTTTAACTAGCTGGGATGGAAGTACTGATTTCTGCAATGCTGAACCGAATCCATCAGTAACTGTGGTATGCTATGAGGAGAGCATAACGCAATTACATATCAATGGGAACATCAGTTCTCCTAGGTTACCGGCGAGTTTCTCCATTGATTCCTTCTTCACCACACTTACAAGGCTCCCTAACCTGAAAGTCCTCTCCTTGACTTCCCTTGGATTATGGGGTCCAATTCCTGCAAAGATTTCAAGGTTATCTTATTTGGAGATTTTGAATATGAGCTCAAATTTGTTGGATGGAACAATTCCAGCCGAAATTTCTCATTTGAAGAATCTTCAGACCTTGATTCTGGATCATAACCATATTGATGGAAGATTACCAGATTGGATTGGCTCTTTTCCTCGTCTAGCAGTGTTGAGTGTAAAGAACAATTCTTTGAATGGCCCTCTGCCAGTTTCATTGAGTAGCATGGAGTCACTCAGACTGCTTGTGCTCTCATTCAATGCTTTCTCTGGACTTTTGCCTGATCTTAGCGGTTTATCCAATCTTCAAGCTCTTGATTTAGAGAGCAACTTCTTTGGCCCTGAGTTCCCAAGTTTGAACAGGAAGTTGGTTAAGATTTTCATGAGAAACAACAGCTTTACAGGGGGAATCCCTTCTGAAATCGGTTCTTACTACTATCTGCTTCAGCAACTAGATATTTCTTCGAATAGGTTTGTTGGGCCTTTCATGCCATCACTGTTGTCTCTCCCTTCAATTCAGTATATCAATATATCGGGAAATAGGTTTACTGGTATGCTTTTTCCAAATGAATCATGCAATGGTGAACTAAAAGTTGTAGATTTATCATCTAATTTGTTGACTGGTAGCCTTCCAACATGTCTGAGTTCAAGATCGATGGACATGAGTGTGCTATACTGTGGAAATTGTTTGGCAAACAAAGATCAGGTTCAGCACCCAAATACCTTCTGTCAGAATCAAGCTTTTGCTGTTGATTTGTCGTCTCGAAAGGGGAAGAAGGCGTCGATTCATAAAGCAATAGTTGCTGTAAGTGTGGTGGGAAGTGTTGTGGTAGCTCTCATTGTGGCTTTCCTGTTGTTTGCCACCATAAGAAGAGATTCTAACAGCCTTATGAACAAACCTCCAAGAAGGCTAATTGAGCATGCTTCAAATGGCTTCCCTTCAAAACTTCTAGCCGACGCTAGTAATCTCCCTCACAATGACTACGAGAGATGCGTTTGCTAAAAATTTCCAGTTTTTTCAATTTCATTTTCAAAATTGTTACACAGAGATTATTTATTTCATGCTTTATTTTTCTAAATAATGATTTTCTATTCATCTTTAAGGGTATATCTCTCAAACAATGAAGTTGGGAGCACTTGGTATTCCTTCCTATCGATCGTTTTCTTTGGACGAGCTTGAGGCAGCCACGAACAACTTTGATACATCGACTTACATTGGTGAAGGCTCTCTTGGTCAGGTGTGAAATTAAATTTTCAACTCATATGAAGTTTGATTTATTTGAAGGCTTTAGTACTTGCATTGGTTTGAGATTTGAATAAATGCTTTGTTGGGATTAAAATATACACTTAGGGCTTCAATCAATTAGAAATTAAAATTATACCGTGGAGTAGGATCATAACAATTCGAGAAATCATGAATAAAATTTTGAACAGAAGCATAACAAAAAATAATCCCAAAAAAACCAAATCAAGATTTATGTGGAAAAAAACAGAGAATGGGAAAAAACCACAGAGCTATACCACAAAAAAAAAAAAATCACTATAAATGAGAGAAGCTTATTGATCACACTACTCAGATCTTCTCTCTAAAATAATTGGAACTTATAATGTTGTTTCAAAATTTTCTCTATCTCACAAGAGAGCTATCACATTAAAATTATCCTCCCGATGATTGATTTTTGCAAGATGTCTCTATTGAGAAACACCGCACTAGGAAAAGATAGCCTTATCACTTGAATCGTGACTTAAGAACCGTAACAGTAGAAACTGTTCTGGCTGCATGACTACACCTAGAAGCGACGTAAATATTCCACCCATTCGGGAAGAAAACCAGAATGAAAGACCCCTGCGGCATGGTTACGCCCGTTGTGGCGTAGTTATGTCGTGACTTCTGCTGCCTCTTTTGATGTCCCTTGCGATTATGTTCTCCTAGGTGCTTCTTCAGGCTCCATTCAACAACAAAATCCTATTTGAAGATTGATAACAACCAACACGTGTTCTCCAGATTTGTACCTCCACCTTTATTGACTTTCATAGCCCCGTACAATGGTATAGCTCACCCCCGGCCTCAACCTTCCCAGACTCCAACGAAAGCCAAACATAACTCCAATTTCTCGATTGTCACTACCTCTATCAACATATTTGTAGGATTTTGAGTTGTGTGTGTATTTTCCAGAAGTAACTAACTTTTAGAAGAGAGTTGATAAAGTGATAGCTTAGCTGGATATGTTTTGTTCTAACATGAAAAACATCAGTCTTAGCTAAATGAATAACACTCATATTGTCACTATGAAGATTTTGAATATCCCACTTCTTGCTCTATTCTGCCATAAAACCCCATCGCTAAATTATCTCATTATTAGTCTCAGTGATAACAATGTATTCAGCCTCTGTAGTTGAAAATGTAACAATCTTGTGCAGCAAGGAAACCCAACTCACAACTGTATTCCCTAAAGTGAAGATATACCCTATTATATTCCTGACATTTAAATGTCCTAACATATATGAATCTACAAATCTATGTAGATTGATCCCAATACTTCTATAACAAAGTGTCTTGTTGACTGTACCCCTAAAATACCTGAAAATTTACTTCACCACCTCTCAATAATGCCTGCTCGATGCCTATGTACTGCTGACCGCTCCCACTACATATGCATTATCTGGTATTGTATAAATTATAACATGCATCAGGATTCCAATTGCCAAAACATTTGAAGTTCTTCTTATTTGTGCTTGTTCTGCTTTAGAATTAGGTGATAACTCCTTATATAGTTTGTAGTGACTTTGTAAGGGATTACAAATTGATTTTGTCTCACCCATGTTGAACCTCTATAGGATTTTCTAAACTTAAGACAATTTCAGTATACCTGCACTTCTTCCCCTGTTGATTCTTATACCGATGATTTTTCTAATTGAACGTAAATGATTCATCTCAAATTTACTTGATAATTGTTCCTTTAAGTTCATAATTTTCTCAATATCCACCCATACAGTTAACTTGTCATCTACATATAATAGAAGTTAGATATAACAATAATAAAATTTTTTTATGAAACAACATTAGTTTGCCTGACACTTTATATATCCATTATCTGACATGAATCAGACAAACATTTTGTACTATTGTGTGGGTGCCTGCTTCAAGTAATATATGTTTTTTTTTTTCAATTTGCAGACCAAATTTTCTTCTAAGAAACCTCATAACATTACAATTGCACCATATATAAGTTTCTCTTTTAGAACTCTATGTAAGAAAATTATCTTTACATTCATCTGCTCTAGATATAAATTTTTTTTTGCTACTAAACTCAACGCAACTCTGACGATTGTGTGGTGCACTCTTTTCTTCTGTTGAAACCCTTTCACAACAAGTCTTGTCGTGTAGCATCTATTACAATTTGACTCCTCTTTTAGCCTACAGACCCACTTGTTTTGTAGTGCTATTTTGTCATTTGGTAATATTGCCAAATCCTTTGTTCGATTTGGCTTCTAGGATTGCATTTCATCATCCATTAAAGCTTTCACTCATTTGATTCTAAAACTTGAGTAATATACTCATTGTGCTCTGGTTTACTATTATCTGTTAACAACAAATTTTACAAAGAAGTAAAATATCTCTATGTTTGTTGAATAGTTGTGTTCAACTTTTTGATTTCAGTAGTAGGTGACTGATGAATTTCCTGTTCTTCCACTAATTGAGCAATCTCAACATATTTGGACCCTTCAAATGTAACTGACGGGCAATCCTGAGTTATAATTCTATCATTGCACATCTCCATTTCATTGAAACTAACAAGCTTGCTCTTCATGAACTTCTTATTATGATAATCATATAATTTATATCCAAATTCTTATGAGACATACCCTATGAAAGTCCACATGACAAAATTTGAGTCAAGTTTACCCTTGGATCCTGTATCAACATGTACTATGTACAACACTCAAATACCTTCAAGTGATATGAATTTATCTCTTTATTACTCCAGGCTTCTTCAAGTAAGCATTATTTCAAATGTACTGAGTAACCACATTTGGTTAGATATTTAGATACACTACAATATTTATTGCATCTGCCCAAAACTACCTTGGCAAGCCTGTATACAACCTCATACTTCTGACACGCTCTGTGATGGTTTTATTCATGCGTTCAACTACTCCATAATACTGTGGAGTTCTTGGAACAGTGTTTGAAGTACAAAAATTCTTAAACTTCTGATTACAATACGCACTCTATTATCTGATCTAAAATATTACAGCTTCAAGTTTGTTTCATTTTCCACCATGATATTTCACTTTTTAAATACTTCAAATACATTAGATTTTTATTTTAAGTAAACTCATATCTTTCTGGTGTGATCGTCAATAAACGTGACAAAGTAGTAAAAATTTTTAATAGACTGAACTAGAGTAAGATCTCATATGTTAGTATGTAATAACTCTAGTATCTTTGAGTTCATTATTGTCCTACATTTAAATAAATAAACATTCTTCTGCTTGTCATGTGCACAATCTTCATATAAATTCAAATCTACTGATTTAAAAGCTTGAAGTTTATTCTTTGAAAGTAGGGACTTTACACTTTGCTCGTTCATATGATTAAGTCTACAGTGCCATAGAGCTGCATTCATTTTTGTTCCATTCACATCAATAAAATATGTCATTTCATTAATTACGTGAAGATTGCCTTCAATGTTGCCCCAAACGATTACTATTACCCTGGTCATCTTTCATGAGTAACCAATGAAATTAGTCGCGTACCCCGACTTTGCCAGCTAGCTCATATAGATTAGATTTCTCTTGAAACTTGAAACATTTCTGATTTCACTGAAGAGTTACCCACCATCGTGACCAAACCATCAAATTTCAACTTCATTCCACATAACATAACTGGTTGCTTACAATATTGAAGTTGTTCTAGTGTTCAACCATTGAGCTGCATTTCACTATCTTCATATTGTATAACCTCTTTATCAGAAAATTTTTTCTTGAAGCAGAAGGTTTTTCATATATCTTTGTCAGTGCCGTCATGAGATCCACCCTGATTTTTTCATTCATTATATCAAATGCAATAGACGAGGAAAGTGACAAACAAATCAAACTTATGGTCGTTCAATCCAATAATTCTCATTCTCTGTAGTAATCTATTCATGCTTCTTGGTGATTCGTTGTAGTTGCAAATACAAATTTTTCTGATACAACAAATCCTTCACATGCATCTTCCAAAATGCGATGTTCTATCCATTAAACTTCTCCACTTTGTACCTTGCTTCGTTGGCCATTGCTTCCACTTGAATTAAACACCCTATTCCGTTACCGCTTGTTGGGATGAAAATATACACTAAGGGCTTTGATCAATTATAAATTAAAAGCACAGTGCACATTAAGATCACAATCATTCGAGAAATCCATAACAAAATTTTGAACAGAAGCACATTAAAAATCAATCCCAGAGAAAGCACACCAAAATTTACGTGGAAAAATCCGAGATCGAGAAAAACCACGGAGCCCATCACCAAGAAATTTCACTATGAATGAGAGAAACTTACATTTTAGACCACTCAGATCTTCTCTTTTAAATCATTGGAATATATAAAATATAGCTCCAAGCATTTCTCTTGATCTAACAAGAGAACGCCTTCGCTTCGAAATCACTCTCCCGACAATGCACCTTCGTATGAAGTCCCTGTTTAGAAATACTGCACGCAAGATAGACAACCTTCGTTGCTCGAATCATGCCTTATGAACCATAACGGAATAAACTATCCTAGCGACATTACCACACCCAAATGTGAAGTAAATATTCCACCCACTCAGGAAGAAAACTGGAACAGATGACCCCCACGGCGTGGCTATGCCCATTGTGGTGTAGTTATGCAATGAATCCAGTTGGCGCTCCTGATGCCCTTGCAACTGTGCTTCTGGGTGCTTCTTCTGGCTCCATTTCACAACATTTTTCAAATTCTACGTGATTGTTTTATCTACCCATGTATTATTTTCAAAATTTACAGGACTGATTGTACATACTGGTATTTAAACAATATTAATTTAGAATTATTTACACAACTAATCATGCAGGAAGATGATGCTCATTATTTGAGCACTTGAAAATCAAGCTGATTAGAAATTGAATTCATCATTTTTCACTGAATTCCTTAAATTCAGGATTTTAAATGTTCTCCTTAAGATGATGTAAAAGTTGGTCTTTTTTAATCGAAGAAATCACATTTTACTGCTTATAATCTCATTCAAGCTAAAAATAGTTCTTTGCCCGGCTGAACATGCCAGATGTACAGAGGAAAGCTCAGAGATGGTTCACTCATTGCAATAAGATGCTTAAAACTGAAAAAGCAACACACTTCCCAGAACTGTAATCGACATATCGAGCTGATTTCAAAGCTCAGACATCAACACTTGGTTAGTGCTCTCGGCCACTGCTTTGAGTATTACCTTGAAGATTCTAGTGTCAGCACATTATTTCTCATTTTCGAGTATGTGTCGAATGGAACCCTTAGAAGCAACATTTCAGGTAACGAGAACTCTTTTAGAAGATTTGCATACATACATACCACTTAATTCTTCTGTATTTGTTCATCTAACATCTAAAATTGAATTTTTACATATATATCACCTTACCTATGCTTGAAAAGGCTTATTTCACTTTTTGTAAATTTAAAATAGTGATATTTTTGATGTGATATGTAAGATTTGGGTGGTATAAGTGTAAAAAGTAATAATTTATGTGTTAGATATGTAAATACATAGAAATTTGTGGTGTGTCAACTCTTTTTAATACCCTTCACACATTTGTTTGCTCTGTTCTTTAGAGAAATGTGAGGCAGAGGGAGTGTGGAAGCCATATCTCTCTCTCTCTCTCTCTATATATATATATATATATACATATATTCAATTCAAAGGATTACTTCTGATTTTTTTTTTTGTTTTGGTGGAACCGCAGGACAAAAGCTCACATGGTCACAAAGAATAGGGGCTGCCATTGGCGTGGCAAAGGGCATCCAGTTTCTGCATGCAGGAATTATTCCCGGTTTGTTTGGAAATAATCTGAAAATAACAAATGTACTCCTGGATCATAACCTTGTTGCAAAAATCAGCAGCTATAATCTTCCAGTGCTAGCTGAGATAAAAGCTGAGGTTAGAATTGTTAAGCACCTTTGCAATATTACCTCAGCTGAACTCATTGTTTGAAGATAATTATTCATTTAGCATTGCAGTTTTGTGGATTCATGCAGGTCATGACTGGAACTTCTTCTGGATCCAAGGAGAACACCAGAAGGTATGCCCTCTATTTATAACAGGAAATTTATACATTAGGAACTTTTAACTTTACAAATTTTGCCGTTCATAAGGTTTGTCGTTCATAAGTTTTAACTCTGAAAATTATAAAACACAATTTTCAATAGAACATTGTACGAAGAAAAGATCGACATCTATGATTTTGGTATCATTTTATTGGAAATCATCTCTGGAAGGCCAATTACAACTTCGAGTGACGCTAAACTATTGAAGGACCAGGTATCAGATACTTGTCTTTATCAAACAATCTTTTTCAAAATAAACTGCTATTTACATGTTTGCATGATTCATAACTTATGCAATCAATGTGACAGTTACAAGGAAGTATAACTGCTGATGATGCTGTGAGGAAAATAAGTGTTGTTGATCCAGCAGTTCAAAAGGCCTGTTGTGGCGAATCACTGAAGACCGTAATAGAAATATGCATTCGATGCTTATCTGATGAGCTTGCGGACAGACCTTCGGTTGAAGATGTGCTCTGGAACTTGCAGTTTGCGGCTCAAGTGCAAGAAGCATGGAGGGGAGATTCTAATAGCAGTGAAGATTCGCCGTTATCACCACGTACACCGGCATTAAGAAGCTCTAAAGACTAGGGACTGACATCACTGTAACATGTAAGTTCCAATTTTTAATAATTCTAAAATATGTTTAAAATTTGTTCCCAAATGTTTGCTGATTTTGCTATTATAGATGTTAATATTTTTAGAGTACATTTTTTTTCTGTTTTGGTTTTACACTCTGTTCTTGTGATTTTGGGTCTGTTTGGGACGGTTTCTATCTATTTTGTGTTTTAAACTGCAACTACAGTTCTGTTTTAAGGGATCTATAGGGCATTTTGAAAGTATTAAGTTTAAGTCATAGAAATAGGCTTTGCCCAAATGCATAGTTGGGGGTTCATGCATTTAATATGCCCCCTTTTTTTTGAAGCTGTAGCCCTACTTGTATCTAATTAAATTGAGGTATTTAACTCCAATTAGATTATTGACAACCAAAAGTTATTGAGATATGAAATTCTTAGGCCTCATTTGGGATCACTTTTGTTTCTTATTTTTTGTTTTTATTTATTTTTTTATTTCTAAAGACATGTTTGTTTACAGTTTTTTTTTTTCATATTTTAATTGGTTATTTTCAAATACAAATGAACTTGTTTTTAAAACATTCAAAACATAAAAAAATTATTTTAACTATTTTTTAAAACAACTAAACATGTGATAACGTATCAAACATGTTTTGTTTCAAATTAAAACATGAACAAAATAAAATAAAAAAAATAAAATAAAAATAAGAAGTAATCCCAATTGGCCCCTCAGTGTGTGCCAATTCTTAATTTACAAGATTTACCAAGTGCTTGTGTGCTTGTCGCTTTTATGTAAGATATGCTTCACAAATTATTTCTAGCCTTTTGCTGAATTAAAAACTATTACTTGAATTTGTGACCTATGAGTTAATTCTTATGGAATTTGAATTGTTGTAACCTATGGGAATAATTTTTATGGAATTAGAAAGGTTATGGCCCATGCTTTTAGATGGTTATTGCCCATGGGATTAAATTCTCTATTATTCCAAGCTTTGTTAACATCCATTATAGCAGGCTACATAAGGAGGCTTTCCCTAATTTTTCCAAGAATGAAATATCTTAAGCTACCTTTCTTTTTTTTTTCCTTCTTAAGCTATGGGTTTTTAGCATGAGTCTTGCTCGGTCATTGTTGCAACTTAGGAGAGACGCTCGTGATATGCTCAAACATCGACAAGAGAGAGAATGTGTTTAAAGGGATTTTTATAACACACACCTCTACTTCTTCGGTTCTATTTTTCAAGTTCCAAAATAAGGTTAAATTTTTGTTTTAATAGTTTATATTTTCATTATAGTATTTCCGTTGATATTAGTAAACTTGTTTTTTTAATTTTATTTTTTTATTTGTGTGTTATATTTAAAAAGTAATCTTCCTTCTAAAGAGTTGAACATTTTGCTTGGTTAAGTTTGATGTTTCTGTTGTTGTTTCATTATTGGTAACTTTATATTTTATTTAAAAAATATATTTATATTAACTTTGTGGCTTATAAAGAAAACATTATTGGTAACTTTATATTTTATTTAAAAAATATCTTTATATTAACTTTGTGGCTTATAAAGAAAAATGACTAAGGGTCTGTTTGGGACAGCTGCAGCTTATAAAGAACCAACTGTGGAGCTGATGAAAAATGGTCTGATGTTATAAAAAGTTGTGGTGGTTATTACAATTTTTTTTTTGAATAAGTTAGACCACAACTAGAAAGCTGCCACGTACCTAACCAAGACCAGTGAGAAAACGTTGTTTTCAGCGGCAGCTTTTGAAAAAGCTATCAAAACGAAATTTATCTAACAGAGCAAAACTGCGGTGCGGTGCTGCACCGCTATCGCATCGCTGCCCCAAACAGATCCTAAGATTTCAAATATAGGTGGTCTTCATTCCGGGAGCACCATGGTGAGCTTAAGCCATCACCTAGGTTGAAGCCTTGACCCCAACCATGCCAGTATAGCTATTGACTCAGGTGAATTACAACGACTGAATTATACAATTTTCTCCCCATTTGTGCTTGCTCTGCTTCAGACATAGGCGATAACCCTTTAGATAGCTTGAAGTGACTAACTAATTGAGTGCAAACTGATTTTGTTTCACTCATATAGAATTTTTGTAGGATTTTCTCAACATGTTCTTCCTGAGATAAATTTAGTGTATTTGCACTCATGTCCTTATTGATACTCATCCTGAAAATTTTCTTGATTGGACCTAGATCTTTTATCTCAAACTCTTTTGATAATTGTTTCTTCATGTCTTTGATCTTCTCCATATTTATTCTTGTAATCAATATTTCATCTACATATAAAAGGAGCAATATATAATAATTACCAATTTGATGAAACAATAGTGGCCTGCCTGACACTTCTTGTATCCTGAGTCTGACATGAACATGTTAAACTCCTGTACCACTGTTTTGGGGCTTGTTTCAAGCTTTAAAGGCTTTTTTTCAACTTGCAGACCAAATTTTTTCCCTTGGAATCTCGTAACATTGCCACTATATGATGTATAATTCATCCTCCAGATCTATATGTAAGAAAGTTTTTTTTTTACATCTATGTATTCTAGATATAAATATTCCTATGCTACCAAACTTAACACAACTCTGAGAGTTGCCATCTTTACCGCTGGAGATAATTTCTTGCTTTTGTTGAATTCCTTTCACAATAATTCTTTTTTTGTAGCGTCTGCTATCATTTGACTCGTCTTTTAACCCGCAGATCCACTTGATGTATTGTGCTCTTTTAACATCTGGTAATACCGTCAAATCCTAGGCCCGATTTTCCCCTAAGGACTGCATTTATCATTCATGACAAACCCTCACTCTCTTAAATCTTCCACTTGAGTGGTTTCCTCATAACACCCTTGTTCACCACTATCTGTTTGTGACAAATAATATAAAAAAGGAGAGTAATTCTGTGTCAGCCTTGAGATTCTTCTAGATCTCCTTACTTTAGTAGCAAGAGATTGAGGAACTTCCCATGCTCCTTTTGATTGAGCACTTCTTTTTTCATCCTCATAATCACCAGTGTATTCTATCTCAACATATTTGGACTCTTTAGAAGTAATTGATGGACAATTCTAAGTTCTGCTTTTGACTTTGTACATCTCCATTTTATTGAAAGTGACATCACAACTTTTGATAAATTTCTGATTCTGATAATCTCATAATTTGTACCTGTCGGCCCTTAAAAGGGGGAAAAGAGAGTTTTTTAAATGTTTGGGGGTCGCCCGTAAGAAGCTGCGGTCGCCGGAATCGAAATCCCGTCGCCCGCTTCGGAAGGACTTTTTAATTTACGTATATA